AATTCAATAAAAGTCCAAATTTATATACGATTGTCAAGAAAGATACAATTCATTACGATGTACAAGTTTACTTATAATACCAAAGTCAATTTAATTAATAAAAAAAATTTTTTTTTTATGACGCTAATGTATGTATTATTATTCTGATTTTGGTAAAGTCGGTCATTTTTGCTAGGTGAGTGTATTTCTATGTGTTTTATAATTAAATTTAAGGGTTTTACAATACATATTGATAATTTCTTTTGAAAAAGATTTTGGTATTTATCTATCTATAATTACTACTATAATATTTAATAGTTGATTTGTATATTATTATACAAGTATAATACATATTGCATGTTTTACATATATAATAAACTACATATTTTCAATCATTCTTTCATTTTCTATATTGTATACTATATTCAATTGAACGTATACACTTTCACTTATTTTATATAATGTGATTATTTTTTTTTTTAAAAAATGTTTGATCTTTTATTATAAAAATTCACAAAGTAAGATTATAATAAAAAATTTCAAACACCATCTTTTTTTTTTTTATTAATTTTTTTTTTAGACTTTATGTCATCTTTAAATTTTCTTTTAATTTCTTTAGCAATATTTGAAATCCAAAAGTTTTAGCAGCTCTAGCTAAGGTGTTTAAAGTGACTGATTGATATTTCCTCCTTCTTGCAGGTTGAATAGATGGAATATAAGAAGTTCCGAATATTAAGTTCGATTTTTTTAAGTTGTGAGGTATTTTGATCAGTATTCTTGCTTGAAGTAGCCAAATTTATTTGCATTTGAATTTTCTAGATCCTTAACCATTCTATAGGGTAAGGCATATTAAGATAAAGTTGGTTTGAATTGAACACTCGGTGTTAATTTAGAAGATTGTGATGGTGATGGAGCTTTATTTTGTTGTTTTCTAACGGATTCTGACGATTATAAAATCGTTTTAGTGTCATATGAGTTTTTGGTTTCAGCTTAGTTTCTGTTTCAGCTAGGTTTACGATTTGTTGCTTTTAGTCCTGGTTTCAGATATAACCGTAATTTTGAGGAAGAATTGGCTTTAAAACTTTTGATAAGGAATCCCAGGAAAAGATCTAACAAATAATTAATTTTGATAATTAATTATCAATGCTTTTAAAAAACAGTAAAATAATAATAAAAAATTGAATAATGAATAATCGAAAATTTTATAATAATGCAAAATTATTACAAAAAGAAATTAAATATAAACTCTATATAATTTTTTTTGCCATAATGTTTAAAATTTAACTAAGTAAAATTACTAATAAAATAAGCGTAAAGAAGACTTTACTTTGGTAAAAAAAAAAAAAAATAAAAATCAATCGTTCTACTTTGCGAAGAGAATGTGGAAAAAAAAAAAGCGTAGAAAAAAAAATCAAATAAAATATATCAGTTCTGTAACACAAGGCTTATTCAACACAATGTCATTGGTTGGATCAGAAGTTCGCCAGTCAGGATGCCTGCGCCACATAATGGCACAGTGCATAATTACCATGTGAAATTTGTATTCGGATAATGCAATGCAAACACTTTTTGATTGTGTAAAGGCGAGTACCAGAAGACTTGCCAAGCTGCAAGATGTCTCAAATTCCTTAGTTGCTTGGTTTGCAGATAAATACAAAGGAAGGAGTTGAGAGATGTGTGAAGGTGAGATTCTGTATCAGCATGTGAAATCATGATCTAAATTTTTTTTTTTATATGTTATGCCATATATTTGTGTAAATCATGGTAATCTAAATTTATAATTACCTCAAGTTTTATTTCGTTAACAAGTTAGGTGGTGCTCAATAAAATTTCGTATAGTCCAGATTGTCAAAAGAAAGGACCATTATTGAGAATTTTTATTTTTTTCCGATTCATGGTTCTAAAATATACCCGAAATGTGAGAAAACATAAAATATTTTTTCATTTTATGCTTCTACTACTATGCTTTTTATCTGAGTAAAATCGTATTTTTTTTTTTTCGTCACTCGATCACGTGAAAAAATTGTACAGTATTTATTAACGAGTTATGCAACATGAAAAATAAATTCCCATGTCTACAGCTAAATAATGGCGGGAAACATAATCGGTGACAATTAACATATTTCGTATAAAAAATTTTTTCAAAAACGAAACACGGTGAGCGTGATAATTATTCCCCTCACGTTCTAACTCATATCAAGTAAAAAGTGGTAGCCGGATTTATTTTCCGGTTAATTATTGGTAGGATTAGTTTAGGATTTATCACGTAGCGTCACTTCCCGGGTCAATTCTTCATTAATACGCAAACGGGCAACGATGACAAATAAATTTATTTTAATGATTTTTAATTTCTATTATTTGAAATACTTCATAATTTGCCATCTCTGTCAAACCTACCGAGATAAAAGATTCCGAACCAGGATAAGCATTAGAATTATAACAATATACTTGATTATTGGTTAAAGCAAGGTTAGGAGCACCACCAAAACTAGGACCAAACTTCCTATTATATAAAATAGCTCTATCCGATTCTCCAGGATCTACTCGTGAGATGTTACCAGTTATACATTTTGAGGTATCTTTTGTTAGGGAGAATAAAAAACTTTTAGAAGTTTTCCACCAAGTGTGCGATGGTCTCCAACCGAGTGGATTATATCCACCAATCAAATCTGTGGAATTTTTTAAAGAAATTACGGCTAAGGTTGCACCTTTATAATCACATATTTCATGAAATTTTTTAGCGTCAAAACCGTCCCTAGTCGCTCTAAAAAGTAGTTTAAAGATGTAAGGTACTCTTACGTAATCATCTTCTTGGTCATCAATCCAACTTGATAGTATTGAAAGGTGTTGTTCATTAATAAGTATTGAATCGATTGAAGAGTTTCTCGCGGGTAAGATTGGAAAATTCAATTTAGTTTTAGGATCTAAATGATAACAAATGATTTCCATGAATAAATCCTTTGAAAGGACTTTTTCTAGTGGTATGACATAACGTTTGAAGTCAACGGGGGATATTTCTAACCATCTAATTAATGGAATAAAATCTGACATCAAATCTTTTATCGAGGAGAAATCGTTTGAGGACCAATTAGATATTTCTTCAAGATCAAGAGCGGGTGACACTTGCGCAACGCTCCATTTGATTAAATAATTCCAGACCTCAATTTCTTCCACAAATAAAACGTTTCTGTTTAATAAGATCAAAAGGATCTCTTTATCCAAGGATAAGAAATCTTCGGAATCAAATAATAAATTAGGTATTTCACAGATATAATCAAAACAATAATCTTTCAAAAGTGAACACGCTTCATGTATTAATACGGTTTGTAATATACGTAAAGGATCTTTAAGCAAGTAATCTTGATAATTGTCAATTAAATGTTGTAATAAATATTTTACAATTCCTTCAATATTCATTTCATCTGCCGCAACTAAAATTAAAAGTAAATCTACGGGTTCATAGTTATTAAATTCAAGTTTTCCTGTATAAAAGTATCTAAAAATCGATCAAGAATGATTGATGTATTTTAAATTATTTTTCTTTACTAGAAAATTATAACACACTTGTCATTATCCACTTACTTTAAGATAAAGCTGAACACCTTCGGTGAAACGTTTGGTTTTGTAAAGATAATGAATTCTTCTTCCTTTTGAATCCAATTTTTTGAAAACGCAGCGCAAAAATAAGAAGAACGAGCTCTCAACATAATGGAGTGAACTTTAAACTCTTCTATATCATCCCCGGTACCAGCCTTAATAATCATGTCATAATTATTTTGATTTTCGAAAAGTTTTCCAAGATCCTGAGAAAGTTGAAATAAAGATTCGGATTCCATGTTTTGTTTTTTTTTTTTTTAAAAAAAAAAAAAATTTCTCCGATTGATTGAAGTTTTCCTTTTAAAGGATTGTATTTGACGAAAAATTTGGCCTTAAAGGTGTCATATATATATATAATTTGCAATTTTTTTAAGTTTCTGCTTTGCAAATGAGAAAAATTTACACGACGCAACATCGTAACGATTCACCACGTTGACTGCGCAAATAAAATTCTATAAAAAAAAATACCTTGGTATTGGTGTAATGGAAGAGTCAATCAATTTCTCTTAATATAAACAAAATCTTCAAAGAAAAAAAATTTGGGTCGAAAGCATAGGTATGATGACTACAAAATTGATTGTTCTGCAAACATGGCATGTGTTTTGTAAATACTTCGTAACCTGTGCTATGTTATTTCATCATAATTAATTGTTTGTCGACCTTTAATTCTCGGCATCTAATTATCGTAAATCTTTTGTACCAATAATATCGAAAACAACAAAGACAAAGCAAATTTTCCTTTAACAATAAGATAAATGTACAAAATGAATTTAATCATTATTACCGAAATTTTTTTTTTACACGACGATCATTGGTCCCAGGAAAGATGTTGATCTATTTGCACTTTTTGATGTTAATTGTGTGTTAATGTAACTTCAAAGATTACCTAATTTTTTTAAAGAGGTATAAAAGGAATACAAAATATAAACAAATTTGTTATTTTAAAAATAAGATTATTGTTTATATTAACGTTAAGGAATGACTCACTTAATTTCCAAATTACAGAATTATCATATCAAATAAATTAAAAAATTTCTATTTATAGGTAAAAAAAAAAAAAAATCGCGTTGTACGTGCGCTTGAACCGAAATGACCGTTGTTTATGTTACTGTGATACCACGCGTTTCATCACTCTAGAATCCCCTTTACTCTATTTTATTACCTAGAGTTTGATTATAAAATAAAATAACTTGCACAAATTTAAATTCGTTTTCCTTTTTTCTTTCTTTTAACTTTTGTATCTTCCTTAATCGTTAATTTTAGTCCTTATCTCGGGCTCCCTTCCTTTCTTTTATTTCGTTAATTTCCAAGTCTTTCTTTTTTCTTTTTTCTTTTCCTTTTTTTTTTTTTTTTTTAAAAAAAAATATAAAAAAAAAATAAAAAAATAAAAAGGATTATTAAACCATCGATATTATTTGAAGTTTACACCCTTTTCGTGATTGTAATGGTCATCCACTCATCAAGATTTGGCAAGTTAAACTGGTCATTTGATAAGAGGGCACCTGTAAATAAAAATGGCAAGGGTAAAACTAAACCCCAACAGAAAAATCCACAACCTAAGAATGCCAAACAACCCACACTCCCTTTAAAAAAACCACAAAACACGCCTGAGAAGACTAATGATAAAAATGCCACACCCCCTTTAAAAGTACCACAAGACACACCTGGAAAGACTAATGATAAAATTCCAAAAAATAAACCCAATCCAGAGGAAGGTAAAACGTTTCCAAAAGGTTTACCCAATAATGATAAAAATAATGATAAAGGAAAAGGAAAAGAAGTTCCAACAAATATAAATGAGCCTAAACCCAAAAAGATAGAGAAAGATGAATTTAAAATGAAGGATCAAAAAAAAGACATAAATACCACTATGATAGGGAAAATGCCTCCTACAATGATTCCAGAAAAGGCTCCATTACCTTTGGAACAAGGCAAATCGCAAACATTATCAAATGTTACTATCATAGTAATCGGTGCGATCGTTTTTGGGGTGTTTTTGGTAGCGTTCATCGTTTATCGAAAAAGGTCTAATTCACGAAAAGGTGCGGTGCGCCTTTATGACAATGATGATGAATCTCAAATGAATGAAAAACCAAGGTTCATTGATAAATCCACGATAACCTCGCCATCACGCATTCAAAGCCAACCTCCAACGATTCAATTAACCAGACTTTCTTCAACCAAAATTCATCTTAATGTTACTCCTTCTGAAAACAATTTCAATAATAATAATTACAAAAACAATTATTTGTTTCCATATACAAACGATCACAACCTATCATCATCTAATAGAATCACTTTAGGCGATTATAATGATTATAATGATTATAATATTCAAGGAACCACCGATTATACGCAAAATTATAATGATTATTATCAAACGCGGAATAGTTATGCCTCAAGTCGCGAATCATATTCTTCTTCATTAGGAGGCGCTTTCCCTGTACCACCTCGAAGAATTTCCGATAATAGCGTCAGTACCGCTACGCCAACAAGTGCTACCTTCAGAGATCACAACCATTTCCCAAAAAGTTATCAGGTGAAGAATTTTAATGGTAGATTTAATTAATTTCAACAATCCTTTTAATTCATAGTATTGTAGAAAATCCTCCTTTCAAAATTAATCTGTTATATAAAATTGTAATTTAAATTTAATTTGTATTAAATATATATAACATACATATATATATATGTATGTATGTTCGAGTTTACTAAAAATAAAAATAACATCCCTGATTGAAGAATACAATCTTTTGACCATTATTATTTAACATAAAAAAAAATATCTCTCACTTTCATGCTGTTTTTATATCTTGGTTTCATGGTACCTTTGCATATATTGAGAGCAACACATCCCTGTTTTAACTTATGCAAGAATTGTTTCGTAGGCTCAGTGAGAAAAAGGAAAACATGCCCTGCTATTATCATCCACTGCAACAAAAAAGACACAAATCAAATGATTCATTGTAATGTAATTCAAATGATTATTTATACCAAGGTTTAGATTCCATTTATTAAGAAACTTTGTAAATGAATTTTGTGCTAATACAAATTTAGAAATAATGGCCGATATGCTATGCATTATGGAAGGGCATTTGTACGACCAATGGTTCTTTTAAACTGACCTTTGACGCAGTTAATATGGCTTATATGGATCTTCGTAAAACGGGATGAGCTTGCTCTAGTTTAAACGTCTTTTAACGGAAATTCCTCTCCCCCATCTTTGGCTAATTTTTTTTTCTTTATATTCTTTTAAAAAAGAAAAAGAAATTAAAAATATATAGTGAAAATGAGGGAAATTCGCGTGAACGAATTCACGGTCCGATTGAATTTATTATGATTGGTTGTCTATTTTTAGTAATTTTAGTAATAAGATGACGCCATGCACGTTTTAAAAAATAAATTTATTGAAAAATATTTTCCCCCAAACAATCCTTAAATCTTCGACTTAAAATTATTCATTTATCTTACAATCACGTTAACTTTAATAGTAGGTTGACCTACTTTCCTGTACTACAGAGAACAATTGGCATAAATACATTAAATGTACAATAACTTGCAAATAGGTTACGGTCAATCTCCATCTTTACAACCACAGGTAATTGCTGGTACGACCTCCGAAGGAGAGGAAGAGGGTCCTAGTATCCCTAATGGTAAGGATTCACAAATTATAATAAATATAATAATAAAATTACAAAATACTGGTTATTCATTCTTGTATTACATTGTTGTTATAACTCAACCTTTTTTTTTATTAAAAAAAAAAATTAAATTAAAAAATACTCGATAGTTCGCCTTGCATTCATTACCGCAGCAGATCAAACAAAATTTGAGCAGCTTTATATACAGGGTTGTGCTGGGGGCAAATATTTAACAGGTAAAAAATTAAATGAAATATCAAAAACGTGTTCATGACAACGGTTATTCATTGATCTCATTCATATTTCTTTTTCAAATTAAGGTGAAGGTGCAAAAGAAATCCTTTTAAAGTCCAAACTAGATGCCACCACACTTGCTCAAATATGGTTTGTTTATTTGATTCAAAGGTTTTTTTTTTTTCTTTCCATTTAATCTCTTTTGATTAACTTTTTATTATTATTTTTTTTTTTTAGGAAATTATCAAACCTCTCAAAGAACAATTATCTTACCTTTCCCGAATTTGCTCTTTCCATGTTTCTCACTAATTTAAAACTTAAAGGTAATGAATTACCTAGTAAAATAGCCGATAATATTAGTAATGAGGTAATGGGGGTTATTGAACAAATTAAAGCTATTGAACGTGAACATCAAAAGCAACAGCAGCAAAAGCAACAAATTTCACAAATTCAAAGGACTTTAAGCCCTCAAATAATGCTAAATCAACAGCAGCAACATTTACAACAACAACAACAACAGCAGCAGCAGCAGCAGCAACAACAGCAGCAACAGCAACAGTTCATAGGAATGTCAATGGGTCATACTATGGGTCAATATGCTTCAGGTTTCCAAAATAATGCTATGATTCCTAGTATGATGCCTTTTACACAACGCATGTTGCCACAACAAAATCCTCAGCAACAATATAGCACGACCGGTATAGTAGGAAATGCGAAAATTCCTTGGGCCGTAACACCTGAAGAAAAAATTCAATATAGGGAAATATTTAGGCAATGGGATTCACAAGGAGTGGGATATTTAACAGGCAAGTTATAAAATGTATGTTTTTTATTTTTTATTTTTATTTTTAATTTTTTTTGCTTTTCACTTCATATGAATAATTCTATTTCAATAGGTGATAAGGCAAGAGAAATTTTTTCACAAGCTGGATTACCTCAAAGTGATTTAATGCAAATATGGTGAGTAATTATAAATTTTCTTTTTTTTTATAAAAAAAAAAAAAAAGAAATTTCATACTATTTAATTAAGATTCATGACTTTATTATTTTATAGGAATTTGTCTGATCCTAATAACAATGGGAAGTTAAATCAGGATGAATTTGCTGTTGCCATGCATTTAATTTATAGAAAATTAAACGGTTATGACATACCTTCTACACTTCCGCCTGAACTTATTCCTCCTTCTACAAGAGAATTATCAGAGAGTGTGAATATGATCAAAAATATGCTCAAATCTGATGCTTATAATTCAAGCATTGGATTAGGTACGCATACATCAGGTGCCAATTATGCGAAATCAAGAAGCTTTACTTCGACACCTACAATTGGTGTAAATGATGCAGTGGTATATAAGCATAAGGATGAAGATGTTGGATATGTCTCCTCTTCGAGGCATCGAATTCCTACCGTGTCTCGTAGTCAATCATCTACATCATATTCTTTATCAAGATCATCATCCACGTCTGAACTTAATGGTGAAGATAAATATAAATCTTCAAAAATATCAGAATTAAAAAAACAAATTCACGAAAAACAGATTTTGTTGGAAGCTTTATCATATGAAGCGGTACCAACCTCTTATGGTAGTTCTTATTCCAGAGATTATACTGATGTTAATGAATGGAAGGATAAAATTAAAGATATTCAAAATCAAATCATTGAAAAGGAACGTTCAAATCCAGAATGGCTTAATAGAGAATTCACTCGAAATTCTGAAGAATTAAATTCTTTACTTGAGCAACATAAAAATTTAGATTATGAATTGAACAATATGCTTGTTGCAACTGTTCCTGACTTGATTAGTAGGGTTCGTGAAACGGATAATAAAATTGCTGATGCTAAATTAGAACTTTTTAAATTAAGAGAAGGCAACGGTGGAGAATCCAATTTAAATATTATTGGTACTGGGCCAGGTGGGACAATTACAGAATCTGATAGGATTAAAGCGAAAGCACAAGCTATGCTTCAAGCTCGGATGGCCGCAATTACCGGCAAACCTGCCAATTTAGGTGGTGGCAGTGGTTCAGACCCTAGAAGGCTTGAAGAAGAGACTAACAAGATTAATTCTGAAAAAGCTGAGCGTGAATATAAAATTGCCGAAATTGAAAGAAATATTTCAAAATTACAAGATTCGGTGATAATAATTTCAAGAGATAGAGAAGAAATTGAAGATCAATATCGTAAACTTGAACGTAACAAAAGAGATCGGGAAGTTGAAGTACGAAAATGGGAGGATGGCATCGGTGTGGAGGATGAGGTTAGAAAGTTCATTCAAGATCTTAAAAGGGATAGTTTTGGCTCTTCAACTACATCTCGTTATGATTCTTATTCTTCATCTCGTTACGATCATGATGATACTTATTCTTCGTCTCGTAGTACCTCATATAATAAACCATCTTCTACTCTATCAACATCTAGTTCAGTATATACCTCTGTAATTAGTGCTACTCCTAGTTCAATGTCTAAGTCTAAATCGCCCGAAGAACGTGCCGCTTTTATTAAAGCAGAAAGTGAGCGTAGAGTAGCAGAAAAGTTAAAAGCTCTGGGTATTAAATCTACAAGTTATTCGAAATCAGCTCCATCATCGGCTCCTGATTCACCTACTTTATCGGATCGTTTAGCGCGTGAAAAGGCTGATGCGGCCGAAAGAAAAGCTCGTGCAGAACGTGAGATAGAGGAACGGGAACGTATAAGATCCGAAAAACTTTTAGCGGAGAAGCAAAGAAAAGCGGAACTAGATGCTGAAAAAGTACGTAAAATGAAAGAATTTGAAAGTAGAGAAGAGGAAAGAAGAAATCAATGGTTGGAAGATGCGAAGGAACTCGAAAAGGCTAAAGGAAGGAAAGCTCGTGAAAAAGAAGAGGCTGCACGTGCTAGAGAATTAGAATTAGAACGTAAAAGGATCGAAGCGGCTGAAAGAGAGAAGAAGCTTGAAGAGGAAAGGTTAGCACGTATTAAGAGAGAAGCTGAAGAACGTGCCGCAGAGGACGAACGTATAAGGAAAGAACAAGAAGCGTTAATAGAAAATTCTAAAGCAGCCAGAGAAAAGGCAAGGAAAATGGAGGAAGAAGCTAAACAGCGTGAAGATGCTACTAAACTTGAAAGTGAAAGATTAAGACAAAAGAGAGAAGATTCTATGTGGTCGGTTAAATCTTCTGATAATGATTCACATACATCATCGGTTGCAGAATCTGTGAACAATAATCCATTTTTGAAATTCAGTTCTCAAGAACAAAAAAGCAGCAATACCAATGATAATAATACTATAGAGAATACTAATCCGTTTTTTAAGTTCACTTCTGGTTCAACTGCACAATCCGATGTACAATTGTCACCAAAAGAAAAACCGGATGATGATGATGATTGGAATGTTGTTAATAATGAAGAAGAAAGTAGTGATGATGATTTTCCTTCTTCAAGTGCAAGGGATCTTGCATCCAAGCTGTTTGGTGGTTCTTCTTTTAATCCTCCAAATTTTGAATCATCGAATGTAACTTCGACAACTATAACTGCCAAAGCAGATTCTATCCCGGCACCGCCACCGCCACCACCTTCATCTGACACTGTTCCACCACCACCGCCACTTTCAAATACAATCTCTGTTCCACCGCCACCACCATTTCCTTCTGGTTCAAATACCATTCCACCTCCACCGCCATTACCTACTACTTCAACTTCAGTTCCACCACCACCGCCACCACCACAACAACAACCATTATCTTCCAGCAATCAATCACAAACATCTTTGCCTCCACCCTCTGGTGCACGAAACGCTTTGTTAAGCCAAATCCAACAGGGAACGAGGTTGAAGCCCACGAAGACTAACGATCGATCTGCGCCTATAAGTTCGGGTAAATAATCGTGATTTCACTTAAAGTTTAAAAGAATTATATTTGTATTAAACCATATTGCAAAATCTATATCATAAAATAGGTAGAACTAGCTCTCCTGCACAAAGCTCTTCTGGTGGCGTATCTCAACCGTCTGATGATAGGGCTGGCATGGCTGGCATTGCTGCCTTATTAGCATCTGGAATACCTAATCTAAAGAGTCGTGGAGGAGTTGAAACTGGGCGTTCAGCCACAGAAGGATCTGCATCGAAATCTTCCCCTCCTTCTCGCCAAAAAACTATGGGAAGAATCGATCGAAGAGTGTCGGCAGATTGGTTTGGTAATTTATCATCAGATCAACTTGCTGGTGAAGTGACCCCAAAACCACAAACATCCGGTAGCGAAGAAGATATCTTTGCAATAGTTACATCACCGACTTCAGCATCAGGAGATAATGATATCGATCGCTCACAAGAATTTCGGGTCAAATCTCTTCATCCTTATCTTGGTACCGGTGCTCCAGATGAACTTAAATTTGATGCCGGAATTGTTTTTGTTGCTAATCCATCTAAAGATCCAGGTAACTCAGAATGGTGGCATGGTTATATCGAACAGACTGGGTTAAAGGGATGGTTTCCCAAAAATCATGTTGAGATCTATAAAGAAGGCAATTATTTTTACTATTTCAATTTTTCATGCATATTATTCATTACCGAATCATTTTCTAACGATGATTTAAATGTTTTTAATCAACTTATAGAAAAAGAAATTTGTAAAGCTAAAGTATTGTTTGATTACAAAGCTCAATCCATTGAACAACTTGATATTCAGTCTGGTAACATTATTTCCATTCTCGACAAGTCTTTTGGTGACTGGTGGAAAGCAGAGTTTGAAGGCTCTAAGGGAATTATTCCTGCGAATTATGTCGAAGAAATTACTAGTAGTAGCGGTTAGTGTTTGATTTTAATACTGTTGGAATTTTTTTTTTTTTTTTTAATATATAGTGATTTGTGTGTGTGTGTGTGTGTGTGTGTGTGTTAAATCTTCCCGTACTATTTTATTTATTACTTCTTGTTACATATTTATTATGAATTCAAAGGAACAAAATTTATAGAACTTTAAAATATTATATATCTGTTAAATAAAATTCAATGTAATAATGATAATTATGTGCCTTTTTTAAAAATAATGAAAATAATCTTTTACATTTTTATTTTTATTTTATTTTTATTATCTTTTTTCTTAATTTATTTTTTTGTCACGCATATAATGGTTCACAACATAGTTCTTGACAAAACGATTACAGTTGAATCAAATGAATCAAATGAAGATTATTCCATTGAAGAAGATGATAGTTCAAAACAGGATAAAGCGGATACCATTTCTAAAAATCATGATATTAATTCAAAAACGAATATTATCCATAATTCTATACAAGAAGACTCATCAACTAACACTGTTACAAAGGTTTTGCCTATCGACATTCCGAGAGTCAATATTCAAAGTGTAAATTCACCAACTACGAGTTCATTTGCTAAAAAATCGATGCTTAAACTTAATGTTAGTAATTTAACTAGAAAACCAAGTCTTGAAATTAATAGGAGTCCAAGTCCTACGAAATTATTTGGGACGAGTCCAATTACATTTATTCCTTGGATGCAATTAGGCGAAGCTAATAAAAATCATAATGCTTCATATTTAACAGTTTCCTCACCTAATTCACTGAGATCAGAAAGTTCCATGTCATCCGTACAAGTATGTGAAACATCATCTGTTTTCTTTTCACGTACCTACTTATATTTAATAATATTAAATTCTTTTTCAAAGCGACCTTCTTCTATAACATGGTCAAGTATTATGGATTCTGAAAAGCTTGAAGGTATATCAAAAGAAGAACGTAAAAGACAAGAAGCAATTTATGAATTGATAACAACAGAGCAAAGTTACCTTCGAGATCTTCAGATGATAGTTGATATATTTTATGGACCTTTACAAGTTATGTTATCTTCAGAAGAATTAAATACTATATTTTCAAATATTGAGGAGATATTACTTTGCAATACGGAAATACTAAGCGACTTGGAGCAAAGACAAAAAGATGATGAATTTTTTGTTGATAACGTTGGGGATATACTCTTAAAACATTCCGAAGGGTTAAAATGTTATAAAACATATTGTGGTAATCAATTAAATGCAAGTAAATTTTTACAAAAGAAACGGAGTGAAGATAAAAGATTTGAAGAATTTCTCAAGGTAAAAAATAAATGCTTAATGTTTTGATGTATCATGCTTACTTAATGTATTATAAATAAAAATTTTAGAAAGCTCAGCAAAATCCTCAATGCGGGTCATTGGATTTATCAAGCTTTTTGTTGAAGCCTATGCAAAGGATAACAAGATATCCCTTATTGATACGCCAGGTAATAACCTTTTGTATGTTTTCCTTTTTATCACGAGTTTCCCATCTCTTATCTTTCTTTCTTTCCCTTAATTAGATATTACATTACACTAGCAAAAATTATTTAGATCACGAAGATATGATGCAAGCTTTACATCAAGCCGAGGAAATTTTAGAGGATACTAATGAAGCAGCGCGTGAACAAGAAAATCAGCTTAAACTAGCGGAAATTTCAAAATTAGTGGATCTTGAAGACCTAGATGAGGTAAAATAAAAACGAAGAATTTTCTTTTTCTTTAATAAAATAGTTAAAAATTTTCTTTTTACTATAAAGAAATTGGATTTGATGAGTACAACTCGATTAGTTGGAAAAAGGCAATTTATTCTTGAGGGACCTCTTAGAAAGGCGAAAAGTGGTAGACATTTATATGGATTTTTGTTCAATGACTTGTTGATACTTGCACAACATAATAAAAAAGCCGTTGCACGAGGACATCAATATGCATTATACAAACCACCAATACCATTGAACGAAATATTTGTAAAAGATGGTCACGGTTAGTCGTATATTTAGACGTTGACCGTAATCATAACAATAACATTGATGATATTTTGATCAATCTCCAGATGAAACCTTTCAGGTTGTTCATATTGAGGATATTATCAACCTTAAAGCAAACAATGTCTCCGTAAAGCGACAATGGGTTAATCAACTTGAAACAGCAAGTGATTATTGTTTAACCATCGAAAGGCAAAATCAAAAGAAGGGTATAATTTCAATCGTTTGAACTTTTTATATGACTATAACGTGTTGTTATTAATAAATTTTGTATGTCATAGAAAGTGATTTAACTCAATTCGATGCGATAAGTGGTACTTTGAGAGTACTGGTATATGAGGGTACTTTACCGGTTGAATCACATGGTAAAAAATCTAACAAATATATATACTTATTTTTTTTATAAATCATAAATTTTGATTTTGATTTTCTTTTTGTAAGTAGTTGGTAAAGATAAAAATGTTGTGAATACATATTGTCAAGTACAATTAAATAGGCAAGTTTTTAAAACAAAAGTCGTAAAAGATGATATATTTCCTCGTTGGAATCAGGTAATTAAAGGTTATAATGTATAATCATATTTTATGTTTATG